TGTTTCGATGGTTTGCTGGTATTGTAGATAGCAGGCACACCGATCCTGAGGACCTGCGCAGACTGTTTTATATGCTGGGAAACCATTTTCTGTCTCATGACGTGGTCAACGTCGCTATTGACAATGATTGCTTTGACTTTGAAATCATTGATCACATGGAGAAATGCAGGGGCGTCTTCTGCTAGCCGGTTTTGGTCGATTGGAGCAACGGGAACGACAACGACACCGAGACAGAAGCAGGCATGCACGGCGTAGACATAATCTTCTGAGTGCGTGTACATCAGGATAAGATGATCTCCAGGTCGAACTTTGACCTTGTTTTTCAAATACATCGCTACAGCGGCGACTTTCAAGTCGAATTTCTTCCAGGTGATACCTTTGCCTTCTTTTCCACGGCCGTCGATTGAGCAGTAAGCCAGCTCCTCTGCCTGGCGAGAGACACGCCATTGGAGAACGTCCACAATCGATGCGAAGTTGTTCAAAGGCGTGGAGGTGCGATCATCCATCACGACATCGCGGTAATCCACACCTGAGTACTGCTTCTCTTGCAGGGCAAGCATCTCTTGCCGTGCCGCCGAAGCCAAGGGAGACCAAATTCCCCCAACGGGGTCAACACCAACCGGCAGATTCATGACCGAGCGTTCAATACCGAACTTCACATGCACACAGGGCAGAGTTCCGGCATCGAATTCCCTGCGACAGAGCATATTACCGATCTCCCGGCGTCCGTTCTTAGTCACACGGGGAAGTGTGTTCGGCGCCGTGAGAAGCACACAATAGACTCGCAAGTGATGCTCTTGATACAGCACTTCCATACATCTTTCCGCCAGAGATTCGAGGAGCACGGAATCCAGTTGCCGAGGTGGACCACCCGAAGTCGTTGGCGCGGTCGATGCCGCATATGACTCCAAAACAACGATCGGAAGATGTTCGTCATTGACAAACACATCAAAGGCAGTGCAGTCATGTATCTTAGGCAAGTTCTTGAGAATACTGACAATCATGTGTTGGACGAAGAAATAGCGATGTTCAACAATCTCCTGCCCATGCTCGACCCATTCTACCTTCTGTCGGAGGCGGTCTTCGTAGAGACCTAGTACAAAGATTTTCCCCTCTATCACACAGCCAAGAAGACCAGTCCGTAGAAACTCTGGTTCCACCAGCACAGGGGTGGGATTGCCCTCTTCGAACTTATAAGGCCGTGCGTGGAATATTGCTTCCGTATGCTTGGGCAATGCCCAGAAACCGCCAGAAAGAGATGGTGAGTCAACCCATATCTCACCGATCACGTTGGGTGTGCATAGCAAATTGGTCTCCGGGTCAACAACGGTAAGGGTCGCATCAGGAATCGGGTAGCCGAAAGAGCCAACTCGCACAGCATGTGGCATGGTCGCTGCGTACTTCCGAGCATCCTCGCCCATGGCCAAAACCACAACCTCATTGCTTTTCAAGGCCTCTTTGTCGAGAAGTACTTCGGCCAGCTCGTTCTTGTTCTGCTCTTTTGGAGCAGGAGCAGAAGCACGCGCACCGCCACCCAGAAGGCTGCTACCGAAACCACTGTTGTTTTCGGACTTCCTTTCCTCTTTTTTGGCTTCTGTGGCTTCTGAACGCTCGGCCGGGTCCATCTCATGAGTCAAAGGGCAGCCCAAACGCTCTTCTCCTCCCAACCAGTCCCGAACACTAATAACCATACCGCCATGTTCAGGCAAACATAGCATTGGGGCGACAATTTCCCGAGCTCTGGGGTTTCTCATGGGCCGCAGCCATCTGTCGGCCAGAATTTCATGAAACTCAGCGTCGACAGTCAACGTATCAATAAGACAAAGCTTCACATTTTCAAAGTTAGGCTCAGAGTTTTTCTTGAAGTGACGCGTGGCCATTGGATCCTGCTGGTAGTTGTACGCAGTGATCTTAAGCCCAGGGTAATCCGCAGCCATGAGTGTGGCTCTATACTTAGTGACCAAATGAGCGTACAAGCCTGGAGTTTCGACCGCTCGATCCTCAAGCCAGACGGTGGTATGGCCACCATACACAGTAAGAAGGACACCAAGGATCATCCCTATGCCTTGTCTTGGATCGAGATAGCTGATCAAGGTCTCTCCATGCGGCCGGACACTTTTACCTGAGCCAGGAACAGTTGCGATTATAGCGCTAAAACAAGCCATTTGATGCATGATTGTCCGGTGACTCATGACTACACCGCGCATGTCCCCAGTAGGAGCCCGTGAGAATTCAATGTAAGCCAAGTCGGGAACCACAAGGGCCGGAACATCATCTTTTCTCTTTGGGTGGTAGCTTCCGAACTCATTGGTCTTCCACCATTCTACCCCTCTGGGCCAGTTCAGCTTCTGCGTGGTAATATCCCTCTGGAAACTCTTGAGATTGTTCTCAGTTGTTAAAGCAAGATGCGCTTGAGTGGAGGTGAGAACCAGATTGAGACTCTGGTAGTCATCGAGATTATTGATGGGTACAGCAACGACCCCAGCAATGAAGCATCCCATAAGGGCAACAGCAAACTCGATGATCTCTGAATCACGGTAAATCAGAGCCACGCGGTCACCACGGTACAAATTACTCTTGTCACGGACGACTTGAGCAACTTTTTCCGCGCGGCTGGCAAGTTTCTCCCAGGTGATGGAAGCAATTTCCTTGCCTTTCTGGTCTAGGACCCAGTAAGCGGGCTGCTTAGGATGTATTCGAGCGCGATGCCGAAGTACTGCAGGGATGTTGTCGAAATTGGACATTAGAGTGTTCTTGTCGTGCGGGTCGTGTACCGCAAAAGGTATATCGCGAGGCTCGAGGGGAAGCAGGTGGTTGATAGTCGCCCCGTGAGGTAACTCGGAGGCAGGAATTAACGGCGGCGCCATATTTGCCGTTGGAGAAAACGCGTCCGATTGAGAGTAGCGATGATATGCACCGCCATAGCTGTCTCTATAGTCACCCTGCTGCTGACCCGCAAAGTCAGAGAAGTATGCTTGCTGGGAATCGAGCATCGTCGACTGTCGCGTGACCGCGCCGGGTGTTATGTCGTAAGCTCCGGCGGATTCATCCACGTGCTCGGAAGCTCCAGGGTTAAAAGCATAGTTCTGGCTCAAAAGTGTTGCGGTTCGGGAGTCCTCCTGCGCGATTAGAGGCGCTTGCGGCTTCGGAAGGAAAAGGGAATCGTATGAAGTAGAGGAGGGCATCCGCTCGGGGGGCTGTAATGCCATGCTATCTCTATTGTATTGAAATGCACTATCATCTTGGATAGAGCCCTGTGTGCCCATGCTCACTCGCCGGTCGTATCCGAAGCTTCCGTTACCAGGTATGTTATTCTGTGCAAAGGATTGCGAAGCTGCATTTCGGGTCGCGGAATCCGCCGTAGGGGGCCGAACACTGAGAATGGCCGGCGGAGCATTGTTTAAGCTGCTTATTGGCGACGACGGGCTCTCTGAAGACGCGTTGATCTCAAGCGGCTTGTTCGGACCAAGGAATTGCGAAAGGAGTAGCGTGCGCCGTTTCTGGTAACTTCAGGAGAGTTAGTCGTCAGTGCGAAGGATCAGACAATGGCAGTTCCTATCGCCTCATGTCTCATTGTAATTGACGGTCATATCATCCATCCGATGAGAGTCGCTTACCCTTTCTCAGTGATATCCCCCTCCTAATTACCAATTAGCGCATTAGCCACAAATTATGATACGGTGCGGTCAATGTGGAACAAGTTCCATGATGGGGAAAACAACTGATATTGATTACACACCTCGAGTTCTCTATCGAGCTCCCGCAAAGCGGCCTGGAGCTCGGGATTCTCCTCCGCCATGGTCACAGAAGCGCTTGGTAGGAATAGATTACGACGTCTCTCATTCGTGTGCGCATATGACGAGATGCGGGATGTCGTTCATATCTTCCTCACAAAGCAGTCGAGTCTCCAACACGAGGGGCCAAGGTGTAACCGGCCGGAATCCTTTCACCAAGTCTCCTAGGGAACCCCTTGCAAAGATGATGATGATGCAGCAGAACGGAGGACCAGTTGTGGCAGGTTGTATCAACTTGGCGTGATCTCTCCTCTCCCCTTCTCCGCGCTTGGTTAGCCACAACGTCACCTGCCGTGGGTGCTAGGGCCAGGCGCACAACACACTAACCAATGATCGGGCTTGTCCAAGTGCACCGCCACAAATGAGAGGGGAATTGTTCCCCGTCCTTGAAATGCTTAGATTGTCGTGCGTCAGTGGATGTAGATCACGAACGATAAGAAAGGAATGGATTCAAACATTGGTGTATCGTGCCTGCCTATACTAATTGTCGAAGTTCAGTTTCTATCAATCGTGTTGGCAGGTTTTCAACTCTATCCTACATCGTCCTCACCGACTAATTTGGTCCTCGAATGAACGAGCTACATAGGCAAGGTACAGCGAGGAATGCGCCTTACGGCAAAGATAAAGACAGTACGATGGATCCCAATAGCAGTGATTCTCTCCATATTCTACGCAGATGCTCAATGTCGAATAAAGATCAACAGCCCGGTCCTCCATGACGAAGATTATACCACCTCACCAATTGGAGGGCGTTAGAGTACGACGAAGCCATACCACTCGCTCAGTGGCAATGAAGAGTCACCCCAGTCGTGCAATATCACCATCCAAGGACTGCAGATAAATGGACCTCAAACCCCCACACATACTGGTATTGAAAGACCATTGCCTCCGTAGACATTGCATGACAGTACTACGGGTATGTGTTTACCTTTAGTAGCAGTATGGCAGTGAAGGCAACTAGTCCTAATGTGGATTAAATCGAAGGGAGCGGCAAGACTATTATCACATGACTCCGGCGGGATGATTGGCGCCGGCCCTGCCCTAACCCACCCACAGTGCTAAGCGAGGCGCACCTCGATTTTCCTTGATGCGAGCGAACCTTTTCAGCGGACCGACTGCTATCGACGACATTGAAGGTTCACCCAACGACACCGTCCGTCACCTTCACGAATCCCTCCCTCGACAACAGGTGCATACGGCGTCACAATGTCTGATCACGGGGAAGTCGAGGTCGAAAACCCCTCTGGGGCTTTCCAGGCTCTGCCTAAGGACGCTCTTGCCGAGATGGGCACCGTCAAGCTGTTCAACAAGTGGAGCTACGAGGATGTTGAGATCCGGGATATCTCTTTGACGTAGGTGTTTGATTCTAAGATCCCTGCGACTCAGACGTGCTGCGAAAGGAAATTTTATTCAGTCGGGTTGGGTTCCAATTCCGATGGGAGACATTCGACTCGTACAAGAATGGAAATATCCGCGCACACAAAACTGGGAATATATGCATTGGACAGCATTGGGGTTGACAGACGCAAATTTGCTGACTCGGCTTCACAAATACAGCGACTACATCCAGATCCGCAACCCCGTCTACATCCCTCACACTGCCGGTCGTTATGCCGCTAAGCGTTTCCGCAAGGCTCAGTGCCCCATCATTGAGCGCCTGACCAACTCTCTCATGATGAACGGTCGCAACAACGGCAAGAAGCTCATGGCTGTCCGCATCGTTGCCCACGCTTTCGAGATCGTACGTGCAATTTTCCGCGAGAACCTGGAATTCAGCCAGATAATTGAGTGTACCGAGTTTACCAGGGATAAATTACTGATACTTCGTCTTTTCTTTCACAGATCCACATCATGACCGACCAGAACCCCCTCCAGGTCGCTGTTGACGCTATTGTCAACTGCGGTCCTCGTGAAGACAGCACTCGTATCGGTTCCGCTGGTACCGTCCGTCGTCAGGCCGTTGATGTTTCTCCTCTCCGCCGTGTCAACCAGGCCATCGCTCTCCTGACCATCGGTGCTCGTGAGGCCTCTTTCCGTAACATCAAGAGCATTGCCGAGTGCCTCGCTGAAGAGCTCATCAACGCTGCCAAGGGAAGCTCCAACTCTTACGCCATCAAGAAGAAGGACGAGCTCGAGCGTGTTGCCAAGAGCAACCGGTAAAGCGGTAATGATTGGGCGTGTTCTCCGTTTGTTCCTGGTTTTATGTTTACTGGAGTGGACGGGGTTTCATTAAAGATTCAGTCGATTTGCATGAATCTGCGCGACTGTACATACCTCAAGACAGTCACGGAGGGAGTGAGATCCAAAAAAATCAATGAAATCGGACGGCTTTCTTCTTTAGTAGTTGGACTGCGATTATGAAAACTTCCAGGCATAATAGGTTGATTCCTCTTTTTCTTCCTTAGAAACTTCATTCTAGTGTCATCAAGTTTGCCGACTCCGTGAGTGCTTAGTTCTTACATAGGAGAAACTGGTGAGCAGTACTTTAACCTGTCGACTAAGTCCGTACTCAGTTGATTATCGTCATTTAGTTCATGCCATCTCATGCACAGAAATAATTAAGGCTGTACGGAGTACCTCTTAAAAGTTAATGTGTAGTCTAGGCTGTGGCGGCGGAGGTTCGTTCCGCTTATCAGAAAAAAAAAAGTTCGACAAAATCCCAACTACCACCGCCGTTTCCCTAACCTGCAACGCTCGAATTATCAGGCATTAATTCCAGATTATGGTGAAACGGAAGTTGGGGGCCTTGGAAAAGGTCGAAGCTGACCTGTAAGTTCCTTTTTTTGTCCCAATCTACAGCTATCGAACCCCGAGAGAAGTTTCGCTCGCCACTAACAGTCTCTGTCTGAGTTACCAGGCCCAATCTACAGCATAAAATTCGCAGAGATCCAAAGTGAGTTGCTCGCGCGCGATATTCTAGTATTTTTCTGGATTTCACAGGCCGTTAACGTGAGCGCGCGGTGTCCAGGTCGTATATCGAGGACTTTCGGGCCCAGCACTACCAATATGAGAGTCATCGAGAAATTTTCATGGCAGCACCAACGGCTGCCACCGACACCGGAATCATTTCTCTGCGAGAATTGATTGATTTTATCGCTCATGTTGCTGATTGCTATCCAACTATAACGAAGGACTTTCCCCAGCAGCTCATTGATATCCTTACCCAGCACCATCTGGTTCTGGAACCCGAACTGCGAGAAAAGATTGTCGGAAGTTTAGTGCTACTTCGAAAGAAGGAATTACTCGATTCTGCGACGTAAGTGAAATTGAACAATGCTGTGCTCACCCGAAGATGTTCGACTAATCCAGCTATTTCATCTAGACTGCTACAGACATTGTTCCCTATTCTTATTTCAACACCGAGCAAAACTCTTCGAGCTTTGATTTTCCAAAAGATTCTCATGGACCTGCGCTCATCAAACGCAAAAACAACGAATCACAAGCTTAACCGGACTATGCAGACTGTCTTGTTCAATTTGGTTACGTCAGACCGCACCTCTTCCAAAGGCTTGTGGGCAATCAAGCTCACGCGCGAACTATGGAAACGGCAGATCTGGACCGACGCTAAGGCTGTTGAAGTCATGAAGGAGGCTAGTCTGTCAGAGAATGAGAAAGTGATAGTTGGTGGTGTTCGTTTCTTCTTGGGCGGCGACAAGGAACGAGAGGAGATGGAAGACGAGAGCAGTGATGAGGAGACCATCGACCTCGGAAGAGTGAAGCATCAGGTTGGGATTAACAAGAAGACCCGAAAGAAGTCCCGCGCGGTCGAGAAGGCAAAAGCCATAGTCAAGAAGCGAGAACGCAAGAAGAACCAACCGCATCCTCTGAACTTTTCCGCCCTTCATCTTCTGCACGATCCCCAAGGGTTCGCCGAGGCGTTATTCGCGAAACACCTTCAGAACACGAAGTCAAACTTGAACTTGGAGCAGAAGCTCCTTGTTCTACAACTTGTCTCTCGTCTCGTCGGATTGCACAGACTGCATATCATGCATCTCTACTCTTACTTTCAGAAATATCTCACACCTCGTCAGGCCTCCGTGACATCGTTCCTGGCTTCCCTTGCTCAAGCATCACACGACTTGGTTCCGCCTGATGTTCTAGAGCCTCTTGTGCAGAAGATCGCAAATGAGTTTGTCTCTGAAGCAGCAGCGTCGGAGGTGGCTACGGCTGGTCTCAACGCCATTCGAGAGATTTGTGTCCGACAGCCCTTGGCGATGAACGAAACCTTGTTGCAGGATCTCGTTATGTACAGGAAGAGTAAAGACAAGGGTGTGGTCATGGCTGCCAGAGGATTACTTAGTCTGTACAGAGATGTCGGCGCGGACATGCTCAAGAGACGGGACCGCGGTAAGGAGGCTTCTATGAGCTTACGGGCTGGAGAGAAGAAGGAGCGTCGTTTCGGTGAGCAACAGACTGGCGAAATCGAAGGTCTTGAGTTGCTGGAGAAGTGGAAGGAGGAAGAGCGCCGAAAACGGAGAATCGAGAAGGGTCTGCCCTCCGATGCTGAAGATGATGAGGACGACGAGGCAGAAGACGATGCGGCCTGGGATAAGTGGAACGTTGAAGACGACGAGGATAGCGATGATTCCGGTGGATGGATTGACGTGCAGAGCGATGCGGAAATCGAGCTGAGCGACTCAGATGATGACGACTCCCCGCCTGCGAAGAAGGCCAAGCAAGGCGAACAGGAAGAGGACAAGGCCGAGTCAGAGACTGCGAATCCCGAGACGAAGAAGACGAATCTTGCGACGACTAGAATTCTCACGCCAGCCGACCTGGCCAAACTCGCAGAGCTGCGCAACGAGGCATCCGTCAATTCTTTACTTCCAAAGAGACTCCGCTCTGACCAAAAGAATGGGCCTTCTCGTCATGCGGATGATCCACTCACAGCTGCAGAGATTGAAGGTCTGGCAGCTCTGTCTGCTGGCAAAGCAACGCGCGAAGAGCGGATCGCTCATGCTAAGGAAGGCAAGGATCGGTCCGAGTACAAGAGTGTGACCGCACGGCGCAAGGAGCGCAAGGAAGCGCAGGGAAAGAGCACTACGAACAAGGAGAAGGCGCGCAGAAAGAATCTCTTCATGACTCTAGGAAAAGCGAAGAGCAAGGGCAAGAGAAGTCTTGTGGAAACACGAAACGTCTTGCGGGCTCACCAGGAACGGCAAAAGCGTGGTGGTAGGAGAGGAAACGCCGGCTCATAGTATATGTAGGATAACATCGAGGAGAGAACTTAAGACCGCCAAAAAGTTTAGATACCATTGTTTGATCTACTACTTATTTCAGAATTGAAGTTTTCGCGATCTGGGTTATCCGGATTCATGAGCCACCAACCATATCCTTACCATTTCTTTTTTGTTTTCGTTGGGTAGACGAAGTACATCTCTTGAGTATCAGCTCTGCTTCGTATCTCTATCCATGCTCAAGAGTATCTATTCCCAGTCTAAAGGTCAATGGACAAGCCTGCCAACCCTGAGCCCTATTGCTGTGCCAAAGATATACTGATCTGCGCAGCACGACATGTGCCATAAGTGAAGCGCGTCACCGTCGCGTCTCTTCCGCGACGGAGATCAAAACTTTTCTCGGGGTTCGATAGCTGTAGATTGGGGGGAAAAAAAAGAGAACTTACAGGTCAGCTTCGACCTTTTCCAAGGCCCCCAATTTCCGTTTCACCATAATCTCAAATTATTGCCTGATAATTCGAGTGTTGCAGGTTAGGGAAGCGGCGGCAGTGGTTGGGATTTTTCGAAGTTCCGAACCTTTTCCTTCCAGCCTTCCATTTTTTGTCATCATTATTCTGCACTCTTAATCTCCATCCAGTCTTCTTCATATTGTTGCATGCCAGTCATGCCTCGCTCTTACCCCAAGCCTCTTTGAAATCTCTTGGTGATTTCTCTGACAGTCAACCTACTTCTATTGGTCACTGTATCTCTACAGAGCAACATTGACTGCAGAACCTCTCCACTCCACTACCACTGGTACTTCCCTTCATTTTCCAGATCATTCACCTTATTCCAGTCAAGATGTCTCTTGCGCAGAACAGCAACCTAGACTCCAAGCGCAGACGATTCCAACCGCCTATTACAACTTTCTTCTCTCCAGCTGTGTCTGATTCGAATGGCACAGACGCTGCATGCAGTCCCCATCTTTCTCACAGCCACTATGCCGCTGCTACCCATTCTCCCACCCCCATTCTCCCCGCCAAAATCCAGTCCTCTCTCCTCTCCGTCGGCATGCGCGTCCGCAAATCAGTCGCTGAAGGTTACAAGACGAAGGGTGTGAAGATGTTTGATGCACCTACCAGTACCATCACTCTCTCCGCAAAGCATGAACATTCCACCGATAGAGGCTGTCCCACCATCCGCGCGGAACTTGCTCCTTTCTGCGGCCTCTCCAAATCATGCGACTACACTATCCAACCTCACTCTAATCCAGTCTATCGGCCTTCCGACACAAGAAGCTACAACGTCGACATCGTCACTGACGACGGTGATGCCTTCTCGCTCCCTCCCAGCAGTCAAGAGTCCGTTTACTCGGCCAACAATGGCCAGAAACGATCCTATGACCCTGACGACGCGGATGAATACGCCAGTGAATTTGAACACAATGCGTTTGCAACTACAGACCCCATACCTGGTCGAACCATCCTCTGTCCGAGCCTGGGACACCAACGGCGGCGATTCGTTGCGTTACAAAACCAAGCCATTCAACAGGGGACTATGCAAGTCGATGACTTCGAAGAGCCAGTGTTCCTTCGTAGGCGGGAAGAGGTTGATACCGATTACTTGCCTGGTCGAATGGGTGGTTGTGAGGTTGAAATGGGAGGGGCATGACACGTTCACCTGATGTCCTGATCATGGTTCAGAAAAATCAATCGGTTTCTTCCGATACAACATCCGTTGTCCAGAATGGCGCGAGGATGCTTCTCAACACTGAGCTGGTTTCAGTGATTTATACAGGAGCCTACGGCAGAGGCTGTCGAAGTTCTTCCCTAATCTTCTTTTCGTTTCTCTGTATATGTTTACTAACACATCTGCCCTTGTCGCATTTGCAGTTTCTGCCTGTCTGATATGATTCTAGGCAATGGATGTACAAATACCCTAGGCTCTCGGGAAGCCTTTCCTGTGTTCCACTTGAGCCGAAATCTGGCATGTATCTTATGGAAT